TGAAGAGCATTGTGAACCCAAAATTCCGAACTGATCGATCAACTGATTGTCAGCGAGGTAAAGTTTGCATGAAGTGCAATCAAATCCTTCCAGGGCTCATCTCTTCATTTGAGAGTTCAAATATATACTCTGATATTCAATTTACAATATTAGGTGTAGTATAACCTTACTTATAATAGGGTATCTGTTCTGTAAAAAACGTTCATGTTCAACTACAATTATGGACAAAGGAAAGTAACTCCAATTCAAAAATTGCCTAAATGTGATTCATTCAGTTCAGTTTTAAATTGTACTAAGTTCTCATTGCAGTATGAAAGCTTTCTTTATCCTTCAGTTCTCCCAAGCACTTTAATTACTGTTTGTTCTTATGTTGTGCGGTTATACCACTGTCCCAGGGTAGGGAAGGGCCACAGTGAACATTTTTAGCCCCGCCACATTCTTTATGTGCCTTTCCAAGTCGGGAGCCTGTAATCCGTTGGTTTATCAAATATCGAATGGTCGTCCAATAATAGTCTTTTTCATATAAAGCCTTGATACTATATCTACCATACTGTTGTTTGTTAATAACTCAAACGACAAAGATTTCGTGCATATTTAGAACGACCTATATAAGAATAAATTGATGTGGTATGATTGCCACTGAGACAACTCTCCACCAGAGACCAAACAACGTAGAGGCTTAGCAACTATAAGTCACCATACGGCCTTCAATAATGAGTAAACCCCATACCGCATAGCAAGCTATAAAAGGACTCGAAACGAGAAAACTAACGATCTGAATTATTTACAAAACAATAAGCGAAAAACAAAAATGAGAAACAGCAACAAACGACAACCACTGAATTACAGGCTCCTGACTAGGGACAGGCACATGAAAAATGTGGCGGGGGAATGGGGCGCAACTGTTTTATGTACTTTATTTGTTTGTATTTTTTTTTGTATTAATAGTTGTTGAAAGCCTCAGGGAAGATTAACATGTTATAGTTAAATGAGAATTTTATTATTATCTATAATAACCCTCCCCTACCCTGCCAGGCTGGGATAGTGGAGTAACAGAACACCATAAGAACAAACTATAAAAATCATTTGAAAAAGGCTAACTCATCAGATCGACACGATGCTCAAAAACAACGAACAAAAACACAAAAGACACAACTTACAGATCTGAGAGTATTCACAGTTACTGAAAGCTAATAACAAGTAAATAAGAATAAACTGTTGATACAGAGATATGTCTCGCCTGTCAGCAGAAAATTCAGAAAAAGACAATCTGATTGACAGCAACAATGCTAATTAATTCACAGTCACTAGACAATGGCCTAGGGGACAGGGACCCGAAATAATAGACAAGTAATGTTTACTGACAGTAATGCAACTTTATAGAAAATATCATTGAATTCCTCAGCCCATCAACTGGAAAAAGAACTTCAGGTTACTGATGGATGCAGTTGAAGACTATGCCAGAAAATGGGTAAAGCGCGAGCCAGATGAACCAGAACTTGACACTCTGTCTGAATAGATCAAAGCTATTCGATCATGCATTCAGAAGCGCATTTAGAAACTACGATGTACGATGAGCACAAGGGTTGTGGATGCTTTATCCTTTTTGCATGACAAATATGTCGTTCCAGCAGATAAATCCTCCAATGATATTGTCTTCATATGTAAAAAACCATTACTTGGAATGTCTCACAAAAGAGCTTGGAATAAACAGCAAAACTGGTAATCCTACATATTCTTTAACATCATTTACAAAGGATGAAATTTTACAAAACCACACAAATCTGTCCTTTCTTTCTTTTGGTATTAACATCAAAGAAACGAAGAAAATCTACCGTCATTATACTGGATACCAAAACTTCACAAAACTCCTTATAAAGAATGATACATAGCCGGATCATCAAGATGTTTAACTAAACATCTTTCTAAAGTGCTGACTACTATTCTTTCTACAGTAAAAGATGGCCTTCAAAAATATTGTGATGAGATATATTCCACTAGTGGAGTCAATCAGATGTGGATTCTTAAAAATTCTAAAGATCTACTGCTAAACCTTAGATCACAATCTCTGCAATTTTGTAGCAACATTAAAACTTTTGATTTTTCTACGCTTTACACTACTATTCCCCATGCTCAATTAAAAGACTTCACCATCTCATTAAACAGAGCTTTTTCTATAAAAATGGGAATCGTAGATATAAATTTCTTGTTTTGGGTTATAATAATTCTTATTTTGTGAAGAACCAAACTGATTCTACCAGAAAATATACTGAACATGATATTATCAAAATGCTGGACTTTTTGATCGACAATATATTTGTCGAGTTTGGAGGATTGATATTTCAACAGACAGTCGGTATTCCAATGGGTACTAATTGTGCACCCCTACTGGCCGATTTGTTTTTGTACTCCTATGAAGCAGAATTCATCTAAAACCTTCTGAAAGACAAAAAGAAAAAGCACCTTGCGAAATTCTTTAATTTTACTTTCAGATATATTGATGATGTCCTATAACTGAATAACCCGTATTTCAGCCAGTACTTACATCTCATATATCCCATTGAACTTGTAATTAAGGATACTACCGATACTTGGAGGACTGCTTCATACCTTAATCTTTTACTCAATATTGACACAGATGGACGACTTCCCACTAAAATCTATGACAAACGGGACGATTTCAGCTTCCCAATTATCAATTTCCCATTTCTCAGCAGTAACATACCCTCTGCCCCATCGTATGGTGTTTACATATCTCAGTTAATACGTTGTGCTCGTGCATGTTCACACTATACAGACTTCATATATAGGAGTGTGCTCCCTACGCAGAAACTACTCCAACAGAGTTATGAGGAGGAAAGATTAAAAATGACACTCCGTAAATTTTATGGACACCATCACGAATTGGTTTATCTATATGATGTGTCTGTGTCTAAACTAACTAACGACATTTTTACCACGTCTAAGATTGTGGTTTACCATCTACGTCGTCTGGTCTTCTAAGTACCGAACGTGACCTATTCCCGAATAAGACTGTTTTGCTGAGTGTAAATTTGCATTGCTATTAGACATGTCTCGGTATTTGTACATCCAACATTCATGTATTTAGTTATGATGTTCCATTTGTAATTCTGGTTGGATGTTGTTTTATGTCTTATCGTTTGTGATTTTTTTATTCTATTTTTATTTTTCTTTATGTATGTAAAAGTAAAGATATTAATCACCTGGTTCATTTGTATGATTTTTAGGTTAAAAGCAACTATATGCACAGGATTCATTTGTTTTTTTCACAGTTTGATTTAGAAGAAAAACCATGGTTATAAAATACAAATAATTACACCATTACTAACACAATTTTATATTAATATTCTTGTAATGGTTAGAAAATACATCAAATAACACCATTACAAACTGAATCTCAATCATATTGTATTTTTAGAAATTTACCTATGACGTCAATTTTTGTGGCGTTGATACATTCGTGTGACGCATAGTTCATTATTCTATTGTGCTGTATTTGTGTTCTGTCGTAAATTTATTTTAGGTGTTCGTTGTTATTCTGTGGTTTACATGTTGAAATGGACTATTATATTATTTATTTATGCCGTATTTCTCTGTCCTGAATGTTCTTGCATTTATTTGTACTTTATTCCTGTGAGAATCCTGTCACGTAATTTTGTCATTTTAGCGGTATTTTTAACATTGCTATATAAGCGGGAAGTTTGGCTAGCCATAAAACCAGGTTCAACCCACCATTTTTTTCTTAAAATGTCCTGTACAAAGTCTGGAATATGGCAATTGTTATCACATAGTCCGTTTTGATGTATGTTGACGTTTGTTTTTGTAGCAGTTCAGTGTTTCTGTTGTTCCGTTTTGTTTCCTCTTATAGTTGATGTGTTTCCCTCAGTTTTGGTTGTGACCCGGATTTGTTTCAGTTAAATCGATTTATGACTATTGAACAGCGGTATACTACTATTGCCTTTATTTATGCCCAACAAACGCACACATGACGTCAAATTACGTCACTTTAAACCAAACACTTTGACGGAAAGATAACGATTGGAATCAAGCGTTATGACCCAAAGTCACAAATTGTTATTGCCTTATTTTAGTCACATGGCATGTTGTTGGTGTCTAGTTAAAAGCCGGTAACGAATTTACTGCGTTTTGAAAGAAACATTGCAGAACTGGTGTGTATAAAATCAAAATGTTGATATTTTTCTTTCAGGTCTGCATTCTCGGACTCAATTCCGGTTACTTGAGACGTCAGAAGTCAACAGAGTGTATGTTGTACACCGAAACGATCCGAGTGAATCTTATGTTTCCCCAAAACTCTCAAAAAGTGGTAAACTAAGTTTCAGATGTTGCATTGTAGACAAAACTACTGCTGTTTCAGAGTTTCGGATTTTTTCCATATTTTGAAGGAACTTAACTGTTTTTTTTTTTTGTTTTTTTTTTTTTGAAGTGTTGTTAGTAATTTATATGCACGGAGGCTCCAGTTGCTGTGTTCACATTGACACATAGATTAATAGTGTTCATTTCACTTCATTAAGGCATATCGGGGTTTTGAGGAGGAGGTGGACAAGTGTTATCACAGTTGCGATAATGTGCTTGATTTCATGCAGGGTGTCACTTTCGGTTACGATGTTGATGATGTCAGTAATATCCACCATAAGGATCAATATTACAACAAAGGATTTTCACTGAATACAAAGTGAAAACCATATGTACTTCTTGCAAATAAGTAGCATTGGATATTAGCTCCAGGACCATACATGGTTGTTTATAATCATATCCCTTGAAGCAATACGATAGCCACCCTCCTGTTTTAGAAGGTCTTATGGTCGGACGGGAAAAGTCAATGTGACCATATCATTATTGCTCCACACCAGTAACCACACGGGTCTATTTATGTATACCATGTTATGTCAATAAAGTATTCAATAATTTTATTCACTCAAATTCCATAATCTTGAAAATCTAGACAAGAACACATAAAATCAAGTTTTAAAGATAGATTTATTCCCATGTTTCGATTCTGTGTCCTCGCAAGTATTCTGTGTAACAAGCTGCTCGTATCCATTGTGGACAATGGAGGGCAACTTATCCTTGTGAGAAAACAATGAACATTCAAAGTTTTGGAATTTCTTTTCTCTGGAAATCAACAACATATGGAACAGAGAACTTAGTCCCTTAATGCAGGCTCCAACTGCTGCTACACAAAGACTCCACGGATATATAAAATTGACTTTATCAAGCCCTTCAAGATCCAATATGACATGCTTCTGTATCTTCTCCTGAAGTAGTATATAATATGAGACAAGTCTGATAATTGTCATCCAGAAGAAAAATGCTGAAAAAATAATTTTATAATGCAACACTGTAGTTTTATCAATGGTTATGACGTTTTTATGACACACAACTGAGATTTGTATGGATATAGCTTTCAATTCAACTTTGCATTCTTAAACCGAGGTTTAAATCACTATGGCAAACTTGACCTTATATGTACTTGGCTATGCTTTTTATGTTCTTTTTTGTCCTATATCTCTTACCGTATCTACGCTTCATCCCTGGCTTTCAAATATTTTGGTTTGAGCGTTCCTTGTGTTCCAACTGTGCTCCTCTTCTTGCCGACCTGTTTCTTTATTTATATGAAGCTATCTCCATACGGGAGCTTCTTAGGAAGATTGAAAAAAGCTAGCATTATCCTTTAACTTCACTGTCCGCTATATAGATGATGTCCTCTCAATAAATAATTCAAATTTTGGTGACTATGTTAAACGCATCTATGCCATCGAACTTGAAATAAAGAATACAACAGATACAGTTAAGTCTGTCTCATATCTTGACTTATATCTAGAAATTGACAGTGAGGGTCGGTTGAGAACAAAACTTTACGATAAAAGAGATGATTTCAGCTTCCCAATTGTGAACTTTCCATTTCTATGTAGCAACATTCTGGCAGCACCTGCATATGGAATATAATTATATTTCCCAGTTGATACGATATTCCAGAGCTTGCATTTGCTATCATGATTTCCTTGGTATAGGGCTGCTGCTTACGAGGATGCTATTGAACCAAGAGTTCCAAATGGTGAAGTTGAAATCATTCCTTCGAAAAATTTACGCACGCCATCGCCAGTTGGTTGACCGTTTTGGAATATCTGTTTCAGAGATGACGACGGACATGTTCCAATTGTTGTAACTACAATCCCTTTCTCTTTTCCTCGAATGTAACCTACCGAATTAGACGTATCACTGGGTTTGAACTTACATGAGCAACACGACGGGTGCCACATATGGAGCAGGATCTGCTTATCATGCGATTTTTGGTGGGGTTCGTGTTGCACAGTCTTTGGTTTTCTATGTCGTGTTTTGTGTACTGTTGTTTGTTTTTTCGTCGTTTTTTTTTTAAATTTTGCCATGGCATTGTCAGTTTGTTTTCGACTTGTGAGTTTGATATCCCTTTGGTATCTTTCGCCTCTCTTATGGAGACGCACGAAATTTTTAAATTGTTATTTTCATTTGATTTTATTTGACCATCTGGAAAACAAAAGTTACACGACTCTCAGGAGACCTGCATCTCATTCTAAGCACTTTTCCAAGCTGTGTTTTGTTTTATGTTAAGAAATGTAAGGTTTCTAAAGGTTTAAAGCATGTGTTGTCGACTGGCAACTTTAATCTATACGTAATTTATAAAGACCTAATGCAAACTTATGTTTCCGTTTCTGAGTCGATAGCTACAGACAGTACAATTTCTGTCAAATTTCGTTATCCGGACGTCGACGTTTAATTACAATTTATTATCATGGCCAAGAAAGTTTAGCATTGGAAATGAAGCCTTGTGTAATGTTAAGGAAACGACAACCCAATAATATGATAATACATACCAGATAGTATCTCACTACAACATGCCATTCGTCCGTAACGTCTATTTCTTCCACAACTTCTTGCATAAAAGACTGACAAAATCAATCCGAACACTCCAAAGAGAAGACCAATAGTGATGCAATACTGAACCTCTTGACTAGCATGACGAGCAGTCTCTGTAAAACGTATTCAAATTTCCTTTCAAGCAAAAACTATTTCATCTATTTATATATATTATTAGTTCAAAGACTCGTTATTCGCTTTTATATAACTTTGTATTAAAAAACCCCTTTACCAACAGTGCTATCGGCAAAAAAGGAAAACAAAATATACATTATTTACCAAAACGTACGTGATGTGCATATATATTTATTTATCGCAAAGATTTATGAACGTGTCGTCTAAAACAAACTTTGGATCAATAAATCTAATTTATTGTTTTATATATATGAGGTAAAGAAAGTCCCTGCACCCGAACATTTAGAGTACATGGTGTGAAATGTGTATTTTATCACTGTGATGTTTGCGCATTGGAATTCCTATAAGTCTATCATATATTTTCAAAAAAGATCTTACCAACGAATGAAGTTATGAATTCGGATGCCGACTGAAACCCCAGAGGAATCCTGTCAAAATGATAACTTCTGAAATAGCATTTGTGTTTTAAATAATGACGACGTCTTCTCTGATTATCGTCTTTGTCCTCATGGTTTGATTCCTCTTCTATTTGAAATGGTATTTCATCATTTCTATATTCATCACTTCTTTGGGTGCCTCCTTCATATCCGTCACATCTACATACCATGTAGTACCACACACCAAAGGAAATTGTTACTCTTCCTTGTTTATTTCTTTCCAGTGAGTATTCATAATAAAGACTACTTCTTTCCATGAAGTCGTCGTTCGGATTAAACAACACATCTCTACGAACAATTACCCATCCAGGGCTAGCAATGGCAATCATCTTAGATATCAAGGCTGTCACAGAAAGCCCAACACAAATTATAAGTTTCGTTCTCAACTTCATTTTATTGGTTTTGTGTATTCATTTTATAAGGATTACCTGGTATTATTACCTATGAGTTAAACCACTAAAGTTGGTCTTCAATATAAAAAGGTAATCTGAAATAATTCATAAATTTCACTTCGATGATACTAAGAGGTTATGATAAAATGTTTTATATAGCTATGGTTTGCAATTTTGGTAGACAAATCGCGAAATACCACTGTCAAACTTTGTTCCCTCTTTAAAGAAAAATACTTTACAAGAAGTAGCATCCGAATAATCCACTTTGTCGTAACCACAATCCCATCCCTTTTCTCGTTTATAATTATAACAGAATAAGACTTACCACTGGTCGTTGTGTATTTGTCATGAACAAAACTACGGATGTAAATAGTGGAACAGGGACTGGTCACCCTTGCGGATCACTTTAGTTCACCATCGTTTTTTTTAAGGATTCGTGTTGGTAGATCCTTACTTTTCTGTGTAATGCTTTATGGACACTAATTTGTCTTTTCGTGTTTTTTTTTCGTTATGGAGATGTCTGTTTTTTCTGTAATTTCCATTACCACCTCGCCCCTTTTGTTATTCATGGTCTTTTAAAAATGAATTCATTAGTTTCCCTGCTCATGGTGGTGGTCAGTCAAAAATTATGTTTGGTAGGACAAACGTGACTGCTGTAGACAACGACGACATCGATATTTTGATGAGGCTTGTTCTCCTCTTTCCAATGATATAACATATTCCGTTAACCCAAATCGATCAAATTCGTTGACTGGACACCTTCTATTATAACATAAAATTACATTTTTTAAAAATTTAATCCTAGAACCTGCATGATACTGTCGAGGGCCTTTTGAATTTTTATATCTCCATGGAATATGCATCTTGAAGGTACAAATCGGAGTCAGGAACATTTATAAGCTCAGCATCACTGTCATTCGTCATAAAACCATATTGGACAAAGACGACAACTATGATAATATTCAGATTTTCCAAACCCCAAGAATTAGTTACAGTAACTAATATCTAATCACTTTTACCTTTTTATTGACGTATTTTTATGAACACCTGATAAACAAGCAAGGTTGGCAGAAAGATCGATTTTATAATAACACGGGTGGTGAATATGTGCTTAATTGGTTAGCAAACGGAAAGACATGTACTGTGTAATTAGTGCTCGAGACAAAGGCTTTCGCACCAAGCTTTTCATTTACCTAACATATTAAGCTTTACATAAAAATAGATACCATGACAAATGTTTAAATGACCACACATTAAGCATACATCTAAGATCTTATTTTTGATAACCAGAATCACATAATACTCGAAAACTGATCTAAAAGAACCACTTAACTATATTGATAAAAACTCATCACAGATTCCATGCTTGTAATTTTATTCGACAGATGCGCGTTTTCTACATTAGACTCCGTTCAGTGAAACTCAAATCAAAACAAGTGGGATGGCCAAATCAAATACGAAATTGAAGAGCAATAAAAACCGAAAATTCGGAAAGGTTTGCCAAATTTGGCCAAGGCAATCAATGTCTGCAAGAATAAAATAATTCAATATTGTATAAACAGTTAATTTTCAGAAAATGTACATATCAATAATATTTCATGTCTACAAAAGTGCCGACTACTGGCCTGGTGCTACCATTGGGGACGAAACGTCCACAGAGGCATCTACTACTTTCATCAAAGATGCCAGGCGCGCTTATGTCTATGTAGGTCCCATTAGTGATGCTCGAGTCAAAACAGTTGGAATGTCAAATCAAATACGAAGTTGAAGACCATTTAAAAATTCTGAAAATTCCGAAAATACATGTCTAATACGACGAAGGAAATATATACTATTGTTTCAGAAAAGGGAGAAGGATTGGTACCATTTAAACGTTTAATCCCGCTGCAAATGTTTGCACCTGTCCTAAGTCAGGAATCTGATTACAGTAGTTGTCGTCTGTTTATGTAGTTTATACGTGTTTCTCGTTTCTCGTTTTTGTATAGATTAGACCGTTGGTTTTTCAGTCTGAATGGTTTTACACTAGTAATTTTTTGGGGCCCTTTATAGCTTGCTGTTCGGTGTGAGCCAATGCTCCGTGTTGAAGGCCGTACCTTGACCTATAATTGTTTACTTTTATAAAGTGTAACTTGGATGGAGAGTTGTCTCATTGGCACTCATACCACATCTTCCTATATCTATTCAGGGTACAAATCATGGTGTTTTCATATTTCAACACTTAGTGAAAAGTAAATTTACGAAAAATGAACATATCAATAACATATCATGTCAATACAAAAGTGCTGACTAGTGGCAAGGCCGAATCAAATACAAAGTTGAAGATCAAAACCGAATATTGCAGACATTTATTCAAAGTACGACTAGTGCAATCCTTGCCTAGGGGGAAAAAACTAAAGTGTTTAGAATTGTTCAACATTTTATAAACAGTTAATATACAGAAAATGAACAAATCAACGATGTCATGTTAACACAAAAATACTGACTACTGGGATGGCGAAACCCTCGTGGGCGAAATGTCCACCAGCAGAAAAATTAACATATCAATGACATATTATGTCAACACAAAAGTGTTAACTATTTGGATGGTGATACCTCGGAGACAAAACGACTGATAGCAGAGGTATCGACCAAGTGGTTGTAAACACTATTCAGATACTAGGCTTATAATTTGGTATGACAGACGCGCAGTTTAGCTACACAACAGTCACCAATGACACTCGAATCAAAACAGTTGAAAGGTCATATCAAATATGAAGTTGAAGAGCATTAAAAACCGAAATTTCAGATAAAGATAAAGTGAACTAGTGTAAGGGATAACAGTTGGAGGTTTTAGTAGATTCCTCTTTACATAATGATTGTTGTTTCCTAAATAGTACACATCTTAAATGAAATATGAAATGCAAGTCAGTTTTCTATTTAGATTTGTTGTTCTTTTCGGGTGTTGTGTGACATGTGCGTCAAAGTGACCCGTCTGTAATATTCTCAAAGATGACTTCATACAACAAGGGATGATGATGATCATTTGCTATCGCCAAAAAACTTAACTTGAACGCTAAGCAGAGACGATCACTGGTCAAGGTATACGTAACTTGTGTTTGGCAATAGACTGCAAACTGATCCCAGATGCATTTTACCAAAACACATAAATGATTGTATGAACTTCGGCATCTTTTAACGAAAACTGGCATTTTTTTACCACATATTCGTATCCACTGAATAATGTATCACGCCTCCTTTCTTTTCTAAATAAAGGCAACAGTAGTATACCGCTGTTCAAAAGTCATAAATCGACTAATCTACTTCACGAATTCTCCGAGATAAATTTAGCCTGCAAATGATATGAACTAAACTCTTACCAGATTCTATGCCCGTGTTTTCCTTGAAAGCAAAGCGTCGAAACATGATTGATACAATTTCGGAAGGACAAAGTCTAAATAAATAGCCTCATAACAAGATATAATGGAATTCTATATGTTTTTGTCCTCTATTCGTGTACAAATGAACATTATCCACTTAATCCAAATTTCGGCCTTTTTAGTTTTAATAAACTGTTGACACAGAGAGATGTCTCGATGTATACCATTTTGAAAATATATTACAAGCGATGAAAATAAAATGGCAACACTTTAAACTGTAAACTATGAAAACATTAAAAGTCATTAACCAAGACCGAGGGTCGATGTCCAAACAATCTATGTGAACACGAGAGCTGTTAATGCCAGTACGACTGCATACCCAATACCATCGACTTATCAAACGTTTTTTTCCTTGAACTGACCTAAACACAAACTGAAAATTTAAACAATGCAAAAATGTCAGACAATAGACCATGACTGAGGGGTGGGACCAAATAATCTTCATGAAAATGATATGTGCCAATGCAAATACACCAGTTTACTAAACATCATGTACTCATCACTAATAGTTCTCCTTAAACAGACCACAAAAAAACACATAGTTGATGGCGCCGCTACCGGAAATAAATGTTTCGTTTTTTATAACAATATTTATTCAACATTTATTGAGAAAAAGTACAAAATATTTTTAAACGACTTTCATAAATTCCGACTAATCCAGTTAGTCTTCATAATAACAAACAGGCCAGCTTTGTTCCCTACTCGAGTACACATAGATTTCTGTAACAACAAACAACCAACAACATTGAAAAAGGTAAGTTAATTCGTTAAATAAAATCTTCGAAAATATGCATACAACTCAAAATAATACAATACAAAGAATAAAACAGAAAACAGAAAGGAAAAATTGTTCCTATATATATATCAAAGAGAAAGATATCGACACAAGGTTCTTTTCCGAAAATTGTTATTTCCAATTTAATTTAATTTGTTTACTAAGCCAGGAGATTCTTAAAGATGAAACTGCACTGAATTCACAAATTATACAAAATTAAGGAATAACTTTCTTTTCTGGTAGCGGTCCTGCTTCATCGTACATGGGTGGAAATACCAGCTGGTCATATCCACGTGGAGCAATGATGGGGATCTTATCGTTGTGAGTGTGGAATGAATACTCCGATCGTTGGTTACTCCTGTCACGGGAAATTAACATCATATGGAACAATGACGCCAGTGCCATTGCGCTTGCTCCTACAGCGGCTACCCATGGGCACCATGGACATCCAAATCCTATGTCTTTTGTCATGCCATCAAGACCTAACATGCTATTGTCACCTCCATGATGGTGCATCTTCTTCAGCATCATGTAGTACGAAGCTACTCTAATGATGACCATCCAGAAGAAAAAGGCTGAAAAATTATTTAATTGGTTAAAAGATTTCTAACAAAGAACATGCAGTGGCAACTGACCATATTGAAAACAACTCTGTTTTTATGTACCATTTCTGCGTTACTTATTTTGATAAAAAAGGGGGAGAACTTTAATATTCCTGTTTTGGGGAGAATTTGGTGTTGATGGCACTTCTTTGATAATTTCTGTTTAGTGTTTGTACAAGCTGTTTCTTTTCAGACTAGGGACGATTTATAGCTTCACGTATATTGGACAACTGTATAGACATTTGTCTATTGTCAAAGACTGTATGTTTAGATGTCGTCTGGTTTTGTTGTTTTGCTGATAGAATGACGTATATCCTACATCTATTCATTTGAAAGTTCACTGAATCGAATTAAATATAAAAGCTATGAAAACTCGGATTGTCACGGTTTTTTTTTATTCTTATATCTGGCGATATGAATTACTGTTAACCTAACCCTATGAATTGTATAGAACACATAAACTTAATTTACAATCATACCACATCTGCTTATGTTCATATTAATACATTGAAGTGTACAGAACACAAGGAAAACTTAACCCCTGTGAAAATCTTCAATTTTACTAACATTATCAGTGTATGGTTGAAATTTGTATTAGGAAACCATTCCTCGAAATATTCTTTGGGATGATGGCTATTCAATATACAGTGAGTACATAGAATTGTGTTTAAAATAAGGTTGCTTCTCCCTCGGGCAAAATTGACATCAGAATACGCTCCTAACGTTTTATCCTTGCGCATTCTAAGCTTCTAGTCTCGAGCGTACCTGATGAAGGTTATTCGGGAGAAACGTCTTGTGCGCATGGAAATCCTATCACACGTGTTGTAAGAGCACATGACTGCAATACAAACTAAAAAAAAACAAAGACAAGAACACAAACTGACATTGTATCTTATGTCATACATACCAGACAGGATTTGTGTAGAACATGCGAGTCTTCCAGGATGTTTTCCCATTCCCCCTCCTCGTGCATAAAAGACAGCTCCAATAAATCCGATCAGTCCAAGTACCAGACCAACAGCTGCATACCATGCTAGCTCATGTCGGGCATGTCTAGCTACATCTGTGAAAAAAATAAAAGTTTCAATTTTAAAGGAAGGGTTAAGAAATTGTGTTACATTAAGGTAAACGTTACGTAAGTGGTCTATATATATCTTGTAACGTAAATGGGCAATCCCTTACGTTTATGGACAATCTCTGGTTACGTAAAGAAGGGGGGGGGGGGGTAGGACCTTTATCGGGACTCCGGGATCGGATGTTTTTAAGCTCGGGATTTCGGGATTGATCCTTTCGGGATCCGGGAATTCTTTTTTTGAATTTCGGGATGTCGGGATTTAAATTTTTTTTAAATTCGGGACCTCGGGATTCCATGTTTTTAAGCCCGGGATTTCGGGATCAGGACCCCTCCTACCCCCTCCCTTAAACGGTTATTCAACTGTGTATGAAAACATAGAAACCAAGGGTAGAAATATGTGCTATGAGATGCACATGCTGCGCACAAAAAGGATAAAATCTTGATCACAAGTACAGTTTAAGTTAAAATTAAAAATTAAATTATTCCTTATTTTTACCATTTTACTATTTTATGATAATTTAAGACTTAAATATAGCTTCATTCAAGTTTTTAAGATATATTCTTCTAGAGGTAAAGTAAATTAAATAATCGACAAATGGAATTATTAAATATATGAAAGGCACACAAATAGCAAAATAAAGGGGAGATACTTCCTTTTTATCCCTCTGTTGACGGAATAAGTATAGACATATAAGAAGTAAGGTACAGTTGAGGACTTGCCAACTTGAATGTTTCGAGCGTGCGTAGCTAGATTATTTTTAGCTGTATTTGGCAAAACCTTTCGGAATCTATATGTCCTTCAACCCCGTAAATTGTTTGTCCTTTTATACCTTTTTGATTCGAGCGTCACCGATGATTTTTTTGTAGACGAAACGCGCGTCTGGCGTACAACATTTTAATCTTGATGAGTAAATTTACTGTTCATGCAAAACAAGTCTTGAAACGTTGCCTGCTTGTGCTTCTGTTTGTAAACATGTAAAACTAAATTATGGATTAATTCATATTTTTCGGAATTTTTAAAATAGATTATGGTCTTTCATTATATTTACAAAAGTGTAAGCTTAAACAAATGGCATTTTCGAAATATATTCTTAAAGAAATTCTTCAGTAGAGTTGCAATCCCAGTATTTGTACCGGAACCATATTCACCTGTGACAATATATTTCAGTGCTTCTAGATATAACACTGCACGAGTCTGAATGTAATATTATGTAAAATCACCCGACCACAACCTAAGAGTTCATTGTTTAGAGGCTTTTTAAAACACTCTATTCACATGAATGGTATTGTAATAGATTTTTAAATATTCTTTTCAAATTCTGTCACGATCTTGAAATTAAATAGTGTAAATGGTTGAATCATACTGTAGATCAATCTGAAATTTAAATCTAATGTGCTTCTGCACTGTTGTTTTTTCTTCTTCAGAATGATTGAAATAAGATATACAAAAGTAGCTTATGTATATGTATCTAGTGTCGTCCATCTTATGTCTACAGAGTTTACAACAGAATCTGCCAAAATCTCGTTATAGCGGCAATAAGTCTACATGTTCAGTTACTTTTAAAATAACAAAATGAGTGTTATTCTGCTCTCTAAAAATAATAAAGATTTACTCTTACCAACAGACCCTTTGATGAATTCAGCGGCAGGATTAAATTCTCCGGGTATCATATAGACATCATCGTTTAAATCGTCCATGGCGTCATCCTTCTCCCGGCTGTCATCGTCCCTTTTTTTGTCACAGTGGTAACCTCTGTGATAACATCTATGGTGCCCGTGGTGATGTCTTTTGTGATGGTGATGGTGTCGTTTGCGTTCTTCGTCTTCTGTATCCATGTCACCCTTGAATGCCTCGTCTTTTGCAATTGGCACTTCTTCGCTGCTATCTTTTTCTTCGCTACTGTCGTCGTCGTCCTCGCCTCCACCACATTTACATACTTTGTAGTACCACAAACCAAAATAAATGGTAACCCTCTCTTTTCTTGGTTTCATCAACTCAGATTCATCTACACGAAGACCATCATCTTCAGGTTTGATATCGTCCTTTGAATCGAAGTAAACATCTGTGTGGACCACTGTCCATCCTGGACTAGCGGTTGCGATGATTTTAATTATCAACGCTACAACAGAAATAGCCACACAAAACTTAAGTTTCCTTCCCAACTCCATTTTGTCTTTCCTTATTATGGATTACCCGTAGAACTGTTACCTGTGTTTATATAGCCAATCAGGAAGCAGGTAAATCTAAACATAGGTATGAAAACATAGTCTTATGATCAATAGGTAGAATTATGTATACCTTTAAAGTTTATTGATACCCACTCAGGCAAAACAGCAAAGAAGGTCACAATCTGATTTAATGGGAGATTACCATAATATGTATCATGTAACTGAATGTAGAGCACATTACACAGAAGGGGACATTACAGAATGTTAACAATGTCACTGTTCGTAATTGTCTTCAGAGATCAGAAAGTCAATTTCCGGTATTCTTTAAATTGTTTAGATTATTAACTGATTGATAGTTCGAAAAACTAATGAGAAGATATCAATAGATTTATATACTGACATAAAAAAATCTCGCTCAATAAATTTGGAGAGAAAGAAGGGGGGGGGGGGGGAGGGTTAGTCCTGATCTGTTTTCCCACTCAGCCTTTTCTTCATATATTCATGTCCTGATCTGTTTTCCCACTCAGCCTTTTATTCATATATTCATGTATATGTTGTTACCAATGTCCTTTTTTGTAACCGTACGTTACGTTTTATTTTGAACGACTATATTTGTTCAGTAAGGTGTACAAGGACATTATTAAAAGTGTAAACTGTACCTACTTATTGAACCATGACTAAAAAAGAAGATGGCTACCGGCATGGATTTTCCCATGTGATCATGCGTTTTGTATCAGTGTATTTGAAATCAATAATTTTGTTAATTTGATACCCTTTACAATTAATATTACATCGATGTTATTGATTTCAGCAGTTTTTTCTCTCATAATGGTAGCATTAAACAAACTAAATCGTTGCAGTGTATCATATTTGTATTTCGTTCATTGTTTTGTACTTAAATCAGGCCGTTAGTTTTCTCGTTTAGGTTGTTTTACATGTCATTTCGGGGTCTTATATAGCTGACTATGCGGTATGTGTTTTTCTCATTGTCAAAGGCCATACGGTGACCTATAGTTGTTAACTTCTATGTCATTTGGACTAAGGTGGAGAGTTGTCTCATTAGCAATTATAACCACATCTTTCTTTAATATTTTAATATAAATGTTCATTAGTTGAAATCAGCCAAAATACAAGCCATGTTGAAACCACTAGTGGTAAAACATTGTCGTATCGAAACAACACCAGTAATAATACTGATCTGGATTGATGTATAAGTAAATAAAACTTTGCAGTCTTCACACTGAGCGTTTATCCGACAGCAATATTTAAACTACATCTGCAGGGAAATATACGGCCTTCAATAGACTGGTTCTCTCTCCCTGGCAACATACGGGTATCCGAGTCAACCTTGTTGTCAGAGCCAAACACAAAAAGGACAGGTAACCAGTTTAAGGTCTTCAATAACAACATTATCAAAATAAAGGAATGCCTAGAAAAGTTGTAAACAATTCAAAAGAGACCACCAAAAATCTTACAACCAACTAAAACAAAGCCCAACATGAACAAAAACAACAAGAACAACAACAAATCAGATACTAAAGACTAAATTTGACGAGATCTGCTCTACAGTTGCTTCCAGTGGGCAGAAAGCAATTCTGTCCGATACAGAACCAGTCTACGAAAGGTCAGCAATTAGCGTTACAAGTGTGAAATAACAGAATCAAATTAGTAATTGGCAAATGTATTTATTAAAGTCAATTCAACGAATGGGACAAATCATAATAGACACTATTCCTCTAGGTCTTGTATTCAACATACTGCCTTTCAGATAAATACACGAAAAAAATGGTTACCATAGATACCATAGATATTTGCATTATGATCTTAAAAATCAATGATCATGTTAACGTCATACTCTTCAATTATATACATAGATACTAGAACTATTGATTTTAGGAAGATTTTTTTGTCTCGTCAGACTGAGCGGCAAAAATTGTCAAGTCATCTAATAAATGTTTTATAAGAAGTTTTTTTTTCCAGAGAAATCCTTTTAATTCCACCAATCATTTCAATTTGATTTATTCTTTTACGAATCTACATTTTTTTTGTGGTACTTTTTTTTTATCTTTTACATTGACCTTTCCGAAATGCTAGATAAATAATTGGAAAGGATAAATATTTAGAAAATTTTCATGTTACATTTTTTAACCTTTGTCGCAAGAGACGATAATACTAAATGTAGGTTACCGCTGAACACTCTCCACCAGAAATACATATATAGTATACCTAGATTGTTTCATCTGTATCTATAACATGAAATTTTTGTTTAACATGATTCCAACTTTTCCTTTTCACAGTGTTTGCATGCAGATTGGAGATAGATCCCTTCTATTTTGAACAATTTAAAATTTTATTTTAAGGTTCTGTTTGTGGAACTTTGTCATTGAATGCTTTAGATGATAGCCAGTTTGTGTCAACAGTTTTCCTAAATCATTATTTAAAACGGCACCGTGCGTGATTATTTTCATATTTCAGTTGATATATATCAAGATTTTTTTTCAGTTATGTGGTCAACATAAACCATTTCCCAACCATATCAAAAATGCAAAATATCGTGACATCAATTATAGATTATTTCTGGCATACTCCAGACACCTTTAAAAGATATTTTCATGGAGTGAACTTCCTTTACCTTATTTTCCAAGTACGGATAAAAAGGCATTATTAGTAGTTTCCGAAGGACAAGTGTTGTGAAATACATCATTCTAATTCATCCCTGTATACAAAGCCGCCTGAATCGTTCACGTCAGTTGTTGGTGATACACTGTATTGCTGTTTATTTATCAATCTTATTTCCAGGAAGAAGTCGAATAATTCACCAAAAGTAATAAAAATAACTCTAAGTGTCATGTTTTTCATCTTTAAAAAAAAATTATGGACCATCCATATTTATGATCATTTTGAGCCTGTTTATTCGCCTTGTAAATTGCGAAGTGGAATAAGTTTCATTTGGATCTTATACTAGTATGCTTGGAATTTACGCTTCCGAGGCAGATAAGTCTATTTTTATAGATCAATGAGTCACTTGACATAAGCGGACAGAGCTTCTTATTTCACAGTTAGATTCAATGACTTTATGATTTTCATTATAACTATGTATGCCAAATATTTGTATAGATTTCAAATTCTTCCTTCTGTGTTTTGTACTGATAAAAAGTTAAGTAATATTAGATTTTTAGTCTCTTTAAAAAAAAATAAGTCGTGTTTCAAATTTTATATTTATCCTTCCATTATAACTTAAAGAAATTCACTTCCGTCTTTTGACTGTAAGTGGACAGATGTTGATTCATTTGAAATATTTTGTTCTCTAAGTATTGCCTTCTTTAATACATTGGAAGTACTGCGAGCAAAACTCACATAATGATACCATCGTCCCTTGAATTCATCTTAATGTATGAAATATTGACAGATAGACATTCCACACGTATTTACAACACTCCGTCTGGTGGTGGGCAACAATATTATGCAGCACCATTAATCCTTGGAGACATTAAAAAGTTGTGAGTCAGACCAGGGACTTTCTATACTTAGTATAGTATAGAAAGTCCCTGGTCAGACTTAGTATATTTGAAACATTGACCTTGCAGGCAAATTCTAACACGACTTGCACAGAAAGACAGAAACGCAAAGAGTGATTCCCAGAAACTATATCTATAAACGTAAATATTCAAAAATATTAGAAAATGCCAACGAAACATTTTTCATGAATAAAAGTTAAAACTCTTACGTCAATATGTTTTTAATATTTATGTTGCGAACACGAAACTTTTCTATACCATATTAAACTGTAAATGTCGTGACATCAAGAGAATATACACAGGCTTAAACGGTATTTTTGTGATAAGCATTTCATGTAATTTTATTTTTATATATTTTTATTGATTCACTAAAGGCTAAATAGACTTGTTGAGTAGTTTGTAGGACAATCATTGCCAAATACATCATTCAAACCCATAAAGACTGACTACATAGCTTCCAGAGGTTGTTGCCGACTCATTGTATTTTGGTATATGTTTAGCCCTATGTTAAGGAAGAAGTATAAACCTCACTAATATAAAAAGCCCTTACTGCCATGATTTGTATAGATCAAAAGCAAATGAATGACTATCCATTCACCATTTATGAAATGTTTGAGTCTTATTAGGCTAAGTAGCCTTCGAAGTGATAACGGAAATAAGATTATACACATAAGCTTCATTTTGGCCTTTTAACAATTTTTATTCGAGCGCCACTGATGAGTATTTTGTAGACGAAACGCGCGTTTGGCGTACACAATTATCAGCCCGGAATCTTTATTGACCTTTTTTTCGATACCTATATGTTAGTATTTACACCGCCTGATCAACATACAGTGAAGATTTTTAGATTTCTGAGTCACTCTACGGGTGCAAAATCACGTTTAAAAACGCTTTTTACATCAATTCACATTTATATACAATAAGTTTTTAACGAAATGCTCAAAATCAGAACATAATGGTCCTTTGTAGCAGCTTTATTCATCGGTTGAAAACACAACTTTAAAATTCTAATGGATTCAGTCGAGGATTATGCCAGGTAATTAATTGGCTTAACGCGAACAAGAAGACATAGTAACTCTTTCCGAATTGGTTATGGCTGTCAGGTTTTTGATACAATTTAGAATTTAAAAAAACTAGTGGGTCTATGAATAAACATGCTACTAGTACATAGATCGTCAAAGACCCAAATGTTCATTGTTGCTAAGCACGTGTCTTACCTCCATGACAAATATGTTGTTGCTCAAGCCCTAAACAACATCGTGTTTATGTGTAAATCACATATCGCATAAACTACTCGATAATAGAATTGGGTATTGATAATTCATTTGAAAACTCAACATATACCCCACAACATTAACCAAGGAGGAAATCCTGAATAAACACAGGTTTGTTTTATGTTCCATTGGAATTTCAACCATAAATGAAGAACTGGATCTTCCTTCGCTGTAATGGATACCTAAATTGCATGTGTCCTTACAAACGACTAATATATTGCTGGGTCTTCCAAGTGTTCCATGAAACCTCTTTCTTTTTTCAGCAATCAAAGCCGGGCTTCAAAGTTATTGTGAAAGTTCCTTCTCTTGTGGCGGCGTGAATCAGGTCAAATTTGAAAGATATATTAAAGTATATACTATCTAAGTCTCTATTCCTCTTGTAATAGTATTAAAACATTTGATGTTTTTACCCTTAACACATGTAATCCCCATTCAAACTAAAAGACAAATTGAAAGAATTGGTCCTGCTTTGTTTCATAAACAAAGAATGGCTAACGCAGAATCTTGTTTAAGGGAGGGTGAAGCGTACTCAAAACAAAATTTACTATGATTCAAACAACATATTCTCCGAAACTGACAGTATACTGATGCTTGATTTCTTGATTGGCAACAGATTTGTTACATTTCAAGGACGTGTTTTTCAACAACAAAGTATCGTAATTCCCATGAGAACCAACTGTGCTCCTCTTCCTTAATACTTCCAAGTTTGGTGAATATGTTGAATGCATCTATACCATCGAAATTGAAATAAAGGATACAGTTGAGTCTGCCACATATCTTGACTTACATCTGAGGGTCGGTTTCAGCTTCTTAATTGTGAATTTTTCATTTCTATGTAGCAACATTCCAGCAGGACCTGCATCTGAAGTGCATGTTGATACGATATTCGAGAGCTTGCATTTCCTATCACGATTTCCTTGATAGAGGGTCGCTGTTAACAAGGAAGCTATTAAACCAAGCGTTCCAAGGAGCTGAAATCATCGCTTCTACGGACGCCATCACGAGTTGGTTGACCGGTGAGAAATATCTGTTTCCCAGATGACGACGGATATGTTCCAATTGTTTTAACCACAATTCCGTCCCCTTTCCCTTGAATGTAACTTTCCGAAATCGACTTATCACCGGGTGTGTACTTATATGAGCAATACGACGGGTAGGACATGTGAAACAGGATCTGCTTACTCTTCCGGAGCACCCGAGACAAACCCCGGTTCCGTGTTGCTCGGTCTTTGTGTTTTGGGGTATTATTGGGTTTTTTTCGTCGTTTTTCGTTTTTTGCCATGGTATTTTCAGTTTGTTTTTGACTTATGAGTTTGAATATCCCTTTGGTATCTTTTGTCTCTCTTTTGAAATTAGTTGAACGATTTTCGAAATTTCAAATTTTAATTGGGATCTATATGCACCTTCCCCTGTGCCTCCTTTTTAATCAGTGAATAAATATGCATGAAAATTCAGATAGGCTGAAGAACCCAATGAAAGTTTTTATTTCTTTTTTTAACCTATTCATCTTTGGCGGGTCTTTTTGTAATTTGTAATTGTAAGAGTGCAGTTTTATTGATATCAGAATATCAGTGTAAAAGATCTGAAAATGAATCATGTGCGTATTAGAAATTCAATAAATTGTGCGAGCTCTTTTCATTGAATAATATAGAAAAGAGACAGAAAAAAAAAAAAAAAAAAAAAAATAAAACAATTTATAATACAAAACAAAGCATTTAATTTCTTTGACTAATTCGTATAGTAGTAGTTCTATATTGAGACCAGCTGATTTCACCATTCTCCTCCTTTACATGAACAAAATTACAATGTTATTACAAAAAGTACAAATAAATAGTCTTTGCTGACAAGTGGCAGTCATTTTTAAAATGCTTCTGTTTAGGCTAGGACAAATATTATGTGTAGCATATCTTTTCACTAGGAATATTATAGCAATGAACATAATCTGTAATTTCAAGCGTGTGGGATGACACATTAAAAAGGTTCATTACGGTGGAATTTTCAAAAAATAATCTATGAAAAGTCAACTGTGTCCCCTTACTTATAACACGTACATGATTATTTAATCTAATATAAGTCAAATGTAAAGCAACAACAAAATAAAAATATAAGTCTACGAAATAGGTTGTTTTTCGGGAAGTGGCCCGACTTCTCCTTGAGTATATAGTGGTGGTACCACAAGTTGTTCATATCCTCTCGGAGCAATAATGGGAACTTTGCTTGAGCCGTGTTTCTCTGTGTGAAATGAGTATTCTACCCCATCAGACTTCCGGTCACGTGATATCATGATTAGATGGAATAAAGCTGATATATCCATGACGATAGCCCCAATGGCTCCGACGATAAGGCACCAAGGAACAGAAAACCAAACATCGTGACCCATGTGGTCGTCAAGAATTTCATGCTTCTGAATAGTTCTCAGTTGAATGACGAATGTAGCAACTCTGATAATGGCAACCCAGTAGAAGAAAGCTGTAAGACAGAAATATTGTAATAGAGTAAATGGAATGTGAATTATCTTTATTTAATCATTTTTATGTAAATTACATATACATATACTGTAGCGTGCGATTGACGAACCAAATTTTTATTTTTGGTTACAATTAACTGGAGCGGTTATTTTATGATGATACCACTGTTATTCGTGTATAAGAGTAATGGATGTTGTGTGCACCTGATATTTATTGACGGCAAGAAATCTCTTGGACTTTTTCATTAACAAAAGACAAAGTATAACATTATCCTTCTTCTTGTTTGAAATAAGAAGTTTTATCTTCAATATGACGTTACAGGTCGTATTGTAAAGGAAAGAATTCAAATGACTGGGCGCATGCTTACATGTTTAACCCCCTCACATTCTGCATTCTGTTCCAAATCAGAAGCCTGTAATTCAGTGGTTGGCGTTTAACTTTTGCTGCATATCATAGCTGGCTGTGCGGTATTGGTATTGCTCATTGTTGAAGGCCGTACGGTGACATAAAGTTGCATTGTTAACTTCTACGTCACTTGGTATCTGGCGGAGAGTTGTCTCATTGGCACATAATCGTCTTACTCTAATAAGGAGAAAGATGGTTGTATGAACCATCGTTAAAAAAGCAAAAACAAAACGGGGGGGGGGGGGGGGGGGGGGTTAATGATACATACTAAGGGGTCAATGAAAAATAAAAATAAAGACGAACCGAGAAACAGCAGTCTTTCAAATTCATACAATACTCTTAAGCTTCAGCAACACGAACCATGTCAAAAACCGGGGTAGATCTTAGGTGTTCCCGTAAGGTTTTGTTAGTAACCTTTAATTTTTTATAATGAAAATATTGATGATCTTTATTTTTTAAACAAACTTTCGATCAGAAATTCCTTATATGTATCTTATCTGTTGACGATAAATACAAAGGAAAAAAAAATCTACATTCATTCATTCAGTTCTCAAAATATTTTGATGAATTCAAATCGAAAAATGTTTAAATACTAAATACTTAGTCTTCATCTTTTTGCAACATCTGTCCACAAGGACCTTCGACTCTTTAATAAATACTTTGATAACACTGTGTAATATATAAGGTTTGGAATGATTTTTGTCTATTTAGGCGTATACTTACATGAGAAGACTTGAGTAGAGCATACGAGTCTTCCAGTATGTTTTCCTACACCACCACCACGTGCATACTTAATGGCACCAGCCATACCAATTAATCCCAGAATGAGGCCAATGGTAACATAGCATGTCAACTCATATCGTCCATGGCGTGCAAATTCTAGCGTGAAAAAAGAAAGGCAGTTGTAGGTTTGTTGTTTAATTAAAGTTTGCTGTCTCTTCTCTTCACCTCGAAAGTGGCAGTTATTTACATGTTCATTTTGGTATATGCTGACGTAGGAATGTGCTTATAGAGAGAACAAATAATGCACACTCTCGTTATAACATTCATTGATAAACTGCTACAGCGATTATCGATATTTACAATAGCTTTTATTTTTGAATTCAATATTGTTCATCTCTTTAATCAGTCTAACCACGACCTAAATAACAAAAAACTAACAGGAAAATTGACAGGAAAAATACATTTTAGGAATTGCGTCTTCCTGCCGGAAAATGATTTTCTCAAAGGATCATCAATTATACTGTAAAACTTAAATTGATCATCTCAAAAACATTGATTTTTTTCTTAGTCAAGACATCCCACTCTTTGAATATGAGTCTATGGACAGATGCATAATTTCCAACACGGAGTCAAATATATACTCTGGTGTAGAGTTGTCTCATTGGCAATCATACCACATCCTCTTCTTTTTATATTAGGACAATTTTACTGCGAAATTATTTATGGTATATTATTTGTTGTATATTTAGGTTAAGATAGCAGCAAATATTAACACTTTTTTTTTTTCTATAAAAAATAAATATTATTCTCGCATCAACCTTTCTAAGTAACGACCATACAAATGTTATTTAACTTAAATATTAGTAGTTCAAAAAGGAATGTTAGTATCACGTTTAACTCTGAGTCATTGTTAGCTTACTTTTAAAAAGAATTCCTTTAATTATCATATTAAAATTTAAGCCATTGTTATTCAAATCACAATTTTAAGTAAGTTATATACTGACACGAATGAATACAATAATAGAACTAACATTAACCAGGAAATATTAAAATGATCCTGCAATTTAGACTCAAGTATCTTTCTTTTTCTTAAATGAGAACAAACGCATAAATGATAGGTATAAGAGAATACAGAACTTGGATATTATGTATACGTAAAGGAATTCATTACAGAAAATTGGATAATACAGTCGTGAAATAGACTTATAATGTATCCATAACGTATTTACGTATGTCAGATATCAAGAATTTTCTAATATGATTATGAGATAAAAAAAAAAAAAAATACAAAAAAATTTGAACAATGCAGAAAGTCTCCTTTTAAGTCTTCTGAAAGTACGACAGACCTTGGATGTTTTGGGATCAGACATGACCTATTCCACATATTAGCACATGCCTACTTTGAATAATGGATAGAGTAGAAACTTTTATCTATCATCATGCAAAACAAAGATGAATCTCCCTCCCAATATTACTATTAAACACAAACAGATAAAGACAACTACTGAACAATTATGGGGTTGTCAGTGTTTTCTTTTTGTTTTCCGTTTCATGTCATTGATTTAATTTATAACATTAGTTGCCCCTTTGTTAGTGTCACATTTTGTTTCCAGGAGATTTTATAGACTACCATGAAGTAAATGTTATTTGTAATGACCGTATGATAACATGCAACAGTTAACTTTCTCACCTTTCTGTCTTTCTTGGATAGTTGACTTATTATAAATCATATCACAACTTCTTATTTTGTATAAATAATAGACTTAGACTATATTGTTTTGTACATAAATCAGGCCGTTAGTTTTCTGGTTTGAATTGTTTTACATTTGTCATTTCGGGGCCTTTTATAGCTGACTATGGGTTTTGCTCATTGTTGAAGGCCGTACGGTGACCTATAGTTGTTAACGTCTTTATCATTTGGTCTCTGATGGAGAGTTGTTTCATTGGCAATCATCCTACATCTTCTTATTTTTATATTAACATCAATAAAACAAAGAACAAAAATAAGTTTTACAGCACTTACCAACCGATGTGTTGATAAACTCTCTTGCCTCAATAAAATTTATTGGTATATCATTTTCAAATGTTTTGTCTTCCCACTTGGCTTCATCAATGTCCTCGCCAACATAGTCAATTCTTTGACCATGTTGCTTTTTCTTGTAGCATCTATGGTAACATCTGTGGTGGTGTCTCTTGTGGTTGTGATGACGCCGAATTTCTTCACTTGTCCGTCTTGTGTCCTTTGGTGTTGTCTTCTCCATGGATTCCATCTTTTCTTTATCCCCATCCTCATTGTTTCTCTCATGTCTACACACCTTGTAGTACCAGACTCCAAAAGAAATGGAAATTGCGTGTCTCCTGTCGATCTCTAGTTCTGGTTTTTGAATTACATGGGTTGGTAATGGATCACGGAAGTAAGATTTGACCACTACCCATCCTGGACTGATAAAAACTATGATCTTAAGGACCAAGGCAATGACGGAAAACACAAGACAAAACCGTAGCTTTGTCTTCACCTCCATCATATCTATTTATCTATTATGGATTTCTTTACCTGGATTAAATAACCAATGAGGAGTCAGACAGCTCTCAGCATATGTATCTTGTATCAGATATATGTTTTGATCAATATACCTTAGACAAGGTAGTATTGAAGAATACTTATTTGTATGATTAGTTTAATTATTTATATAAAACGATCTTCGTTCAAGGATATAGATTATTTTCATGCAAAAAGCTTATATATATATATGTTTATCAAATTTGCAAAAAGTTTATATATATACATGTTTATATAATATATATTAAGTAGCATTTATGAATTCTATGACGAGTCAATGTACTTATAAATTCATGTCATTAATCTTTTCAAAAACTCATGCATCTTATAAACTCATTCACTAACGATGCAAGTGAATGCACACTTCTTTTGGGTGATATCTTGTACCATTCATCACGTTCAGATAATAGGTGTGCAAAATGATGTCATTAAAACATATTAAAATTGTAATATCTTTCTGTCTAAAATAGTGATTGATTCACGTTTTACTATAAATTCAAGGATTACTAATATCAGTACAAAGGTATTTAGTTAATAACGGAAGTGATTGTTTATTTCACTTTTGTCATGTATGATGCTCAATGTATTATAGTCTTTTCATCAGGGGGTATATAGTAACTGTATTATCGACTCAAGTCAGTCAGTTACTTTTTTTTTTAGATTTTAGTCCGTTGTGGTTCAGTAACACACATTTATCAAAGAAATATCTTAAAGATCAAAATATTTGATATATTTTTCTTCATAAAAGTATTTTCCAATTAAGCACAAATATATCTAGCAAATTTTAAGAACTTATATCAGTCTTTTGAACCGGGGGTAGTAACTGTATCAGTTATTTCGGCTCGAGTTAGCCAGTTACTTTTTATTGAGATTTCAGTCAGTTTTTAAGTCAATGAGAGTCGGTAGCACTAACTTAATCCGATAAATATCTTAAAGATCAAAATATTTTATGCATTTTTCTTCACATATGTATTTTCATATTGAGCAAAAGAATATCTATCAAATTCTAAGGTTGAAAAAAAAATGAAATCAGATGAAAACCATATAAAACATTGTCAATTTACTCATGCTAAATATAAAAATAAGGAGGTGAGGTATGATTGCCAATGAGACAACTATCCACCAAAGTTCAAATAAAGTGGATGTAAGCAATTATAGGCAACCGTACGCCTTCAACAATGAGAAAACCCCATATAGTCGGCTATAAAAGGCTCCGACATGAAAAATATGAAACAATTCAATTGAGAAAATCGACAACCACTGAACTATAGGCTCCTGGCTTGGGACAGACACATACAGAATGTGGCGGGGTTAAACATGATATCAGCGCTCAACCCTCCCCTAACCTGGGACAGTGGTGTAACAGTTGAAAAAGGCTGAACTCATCAGATTGATACAGAGTAGAAAAACCTCAAACATAGACACATACCGGACGTGGCAGGGTATTTATCCATCCCTCATCCCTTACAACAAAAAGGACACTAAGTACAGGTCTGAGAGTACTCGCAGTTACTGACAGCTATAGTTCAAAGCCAATAACAACTAATAAAAAAAACATGTATCTAAGACTAAAATATCAATCAGTACACATCCAACATCCAATGGATTTAGTTGTAAGGACGTCAATTAACAGTCAGAGAAAAACATGACCTTGTATCAATGCCAAAATAAAGGATCGACAGATTGTAGTACCGTTAAAGTGCATATTTGTATAACAAAACTATTAGTATGATTTTAATTAACTGATAACAAAATCAATATTTATACCAATAAAAACAATATTCTAAGATCTAATTACAGTGTTGAATTGGTAACCTTTTAGAATAAGTTTATTTAAAGGATTGATAAGTTTACCCGGATCGAATATAAATTTCCGGGCTCGGTAAACAACACCACCGTAAAATTTAGGATGTGCTATCACGCCTGAAATAAGTTTTTCACAGGTACAGCCAAACTTGCAAATCCAAATCTTTGTATCTATGGAAGAATTTAGTAAAGGTTTTACGTAATTTGTGGTAACGAAATCCCTGACTTAATCATTTACCAGTAATACATAGATTACGCTGATTGATATCCAAAACGTCACTACAGACACGGGCATAACGAACGAGTTGTGATATATAAACAGCGTAAGATGGTGCCAGAGGAACATCACCGTCCAAAAAAGGAAAATCAACAATAGGGAAAGAAAAATCGTACCTTTTGTCGTAAATTTTTGTGTAGACTTTCTGGTGTAAAACTGAAATATCTAAAACTAGGAAAGGACATTTATTGCTGTTAATATTTGATTTATTTAAAGTAAGTTGCTGTGGATAAATTTCGGCAGTATATTTAGAGAATTCTTGATTATTTAACGAAAATATATCATCAAGATAACGGTAAGAGTTGTTAAATTTATCAATTAAATGGAATTTAGACGGGTCTTTACTGAGTTTGGCCATAAACTGTGATTCATAACAGTACAGGAACAAGTCTGCTATTAAAGGGGCACAATTGGTGCCCATAGGAATATCTACAATCTGTCGATAAACTTTATTGCCGAAACGTACAGAAATGTTGTCAAGGGGAAAATTTATGACTGTAATCATCTCATCACACCTCCAGTAAGTGTATATCTAAAATTGAGAATGGAAATGGGGAATGTGTCAAAGAGACAACAAACCGACCACAGAACAGACAACGGCAGAAGGCCACCAACAGGTCTTCAATGCAGCGAGAAATTCCCGCACCCGGAGGCGTCCTTCAGCTGGCCCCTAAACAAATATATATACTAGTTCAGTGATAATGAACGCCATACTAAACTCCAAATTGTACACAAGAAACTAAAATTAAAAATAATACAAGACTAACAAAGGCTAGAGGCTCCTGACTTGGGACAGGCGCAAAAATGCGGCGGGGTTAAACATGTTTATGAGATCTCAACCCTCCCCCTATACCTCTAGCCAATGTAGAAAAGTAAACGCATAACAATACGCACATTAAAATTCAGTTCAAGAGAAGTCCGAGTCTGATGTCAGAAGATGTAACCAAAGAAAATAAACAAAATGACAATAATACATAAATAACAACAGACTACTAGCAGTTAACTGACATGCCAGCTCCAGACTTCAATTAAACTGATTGAAAGATTATGTCTACATCATATGAATATCAGGCACAATCCTTCCCGTTAGGGCTTTAGTATCATACCATCATAACATATATGAGAAGAACATAACCCGTGTCATGCCAACAACTGGTTTTTAAATAAATGTGTTTAGTGCCGATGCAAAGACCCTATAAGTGAATCAATATTAACGCCAAAATATGCAATCTTTAATGACCTGACAACAGTATCGTAACTATATCCCTTCTTAATAAGTCTATTTAAAGGTTTTGTTAGTTTCAGAGGTGAATACTGACATTTTTGTGCTTTATAAAGAATATTTCCATAAAAAAATGGATGTGAAATACCTGAACGTATAAGAAGTCTGCATGTTGAGCTATATTTACGAATGATGTCCTTATACCGATGATAAAATTTAGTAAATGTTTTGACTAGTTTGTGATATCGAAAACCCTGGTGTAATAATTTTTCAGTAATACATAAATTTCTCTCGTTAAAATCTAAAACATTGTTACATACACGAGCGAATCGTACAAGTTGAGATATATAAACACCGTAAGATGGTGACAAGGGAACGTCACCATCTAAAAATGGATAATTAACGATAGGAAATGAAAAATCATCTCTTTTATCATATATTTTAGTATTAAGCTTTCCGATCTAGCATATTTACCTTTCTCGTTTGAGAAAAAGGCTTTATATGAGTTGCAGCAAATAAATTGGCAATTAGATTTATCGAACGACCATTTAATTAAATAGGAAAACGTTTGTTTGATATGATTGTGTGGAAGTGTAGTGTAAAGAGTGGAAAAGTCAAAACTGTCAACCGAATCAAAGGGACCATTAAAAGCACGTAATTTTTCTAAAACATCCAAAGATTTTTTTACACTCCAAAAATGGTTAATTCCACTATTTTCATATGTTTTATAACACAAATTAATGATCAGTTCTTTGATAGTAGTTAAGGAACTCGTCAAAAGCACTCGGAAATTCTAGTAGAAGAACACTTACAAGAGGCCGAGATGAAACGATATTTTACGGGTTTTTTTTGTGTTGTTTAGGTAACCAATAAATAGTGAGGACCTTCAAATGTTCAGAAGAGGCCTTAAGCTGAGCTGTGGTTGTGACATGATTATTTACTTTATGACTTTCTGTGGAGCTTACGGCCTTGAATGTAGTTGAATGTATAATTTCATTCTTAAGGACTTCCGTGTAGTATTTACGTCATACCACCACCACATTTTTGGCTGCTTTGTCGGCCGGTACGAACACAAAACGCTTTGCAACATTGCCCATATATAAAGCTGATTGTCGGTAACTATATAGAAGTCGGGTAATTTGGTATTTTTTTTACTTTTCTTTTTTTCGCAGTAGAAGGGGGAGGGGAGAGGGTATATTATTGCGAGCTAGGTAACAAGTGTTACTTACTCATGTAAAGTTAATGTTAGAAGGTTTTGATATTCTTTGACTTCTTTGGCTATTTATATATTTTCCCACACTTTGGAAATCCTATATATATCATTGGGTATTTAGTGTTATTCACAAATGCTCATTAGAAAAAATCAAAACTGTATTTGAACTGTAAGACACTTAGATTACCATTAATCCAGTAGTCAATGTTTTGGCACTGAACACGTTAAATACAAATTGATAAAATCTAATATGATAACTCTTTGCAATTTTAGAAGAAAGTGTTACAACTCACTCAAACAAAGCTCACCTTTACTATTTTGAGGATCAGTTTTGGTTAGATAAGTCTCCTGTTGTTACCCCGAATCTTCTGTCGTAAGAAAAGGCTTCGAGTTGTTAACTTCTATGTAATTTGGTCTCTTGTGGAGAGTTGTCTCATTGGCAATCATACCACATCTTCTTATTTTCATATTCGAGTGTTTCT